GCCTCATGTTCTCTCTCATATTTGGCCAACGATCATTGTTGGCCGTCCGATCCTTGACCACGTCGTCTTTGACAATCTACGTTGAAAAAGCCATACGCAGCAAAACAGCAGAGCCTGAAAAGTGTAGCCCGTGAATCCATGAACACACACCATGTACCTTGCAAGCATACTTTCTGCACACTTAGAATGCACCTGAATGCATTGTCGAAAGCACACTGTCTGCAAACCTCTTAAAAACTCGCCCTGGCCTCACAAGTAGTACAGAAAATGAATTAAAACTCGTGTGGTGCGGACTTTGCCACCCACAAAGCTTGTCCCGTGCCTCCTGCAGCTCTGCCACATTCCGTTGAAGACTGTTGACGTCCGCGGCAGCTTTCGTCCCTTCCTCCCTTATCACCTTCAAGTCCGCGACGGCCTCTTCCAAACCGCATGTTCTGCACTGCCAAACACAACATGAAAGGATATCAACTTGACAGCAACAGCACATGCGCAGCTTCCAGCGTGCACCTCACTCAGTTCTTGGACATGTCGGCGCACGTCCAGGCTTGAGAGAGCTTCCGCGGCAGCTTTATTCTCAGCTTCTCGGAATGCCTCAAAATTTGACAGACACCCTGGTACAATGAGATTGAGCGTGCCGCCAGCAAAGCACCCCCTGTGCCTCTTTGAGCTCTCCAACATTCTGCCGAAGGCTCTTGACATCGGCGGCCAGTTTTGTGCTTGTTCGACGCGACTCTGTCAAATTTGCAACAGCCTCATCAGGACAAATTGTCAGACCACCAAGCTGCAAAGACTGAACAGCATTCGGTTTGGTCGCCTCCTCCAAGCCACCTAGGCGACCCCAGGCGTCCATTAGGCTGGTTTCAGCTTTGGAAACGCTCTGGCGCTCCTCTCGGCAGGCCTGCTCTCAATTCAAGGCTTGCGCGGCGCGACAACCAATGCAACACAGGGAACAGGTCTACACAGCTAATTATGCCGTACAAACCTATCTGTGATGAATCCCTCCGGCTCATTGTGCCACAGGTTTCTACACTTTGGGCTGCCGCACCAACTAGAGGTATCCCCGGAACAAGTGACACCGTGCTGCTCGAAAGAATCAAAGCTGAAGGTAGAATCCACATGTCCTTGCCTCCTGCAGCTCCTCCATGTTTCTGAACAAGCTGAATTGGCCATCTGCATGCTCCTGCTGGATCTTCCAAAGTACTTGAATTGCTCGAACTCAACCTTATGGCCACCCACTGCCTTGAGGTACTCCAAGTCTGCCCTCACGGTAGTCAGATCTTTGGCCGCGTCGTCTTTGGACATCTGGCTTTCTGTTTCCCGGACGGCCTGCGAACGCTAAACACCAAAACACGAGCCCGCGAATCAAGCAGTACCGAGAAGTCTGTCCTACAAATTGCGGTCTGGTCAACACGTGACCTTCCAGAATCCCTAATGACCCTAATGTAAGCACTGGCTAGATTCAGGCCCGTGACCTCATGGAGCTCCTCCACACTTTGCCAAACAACCTGCGAACAAGTGCAGCCCAGTGCAGCCACTGATCTTTGTCTATCCGGGGAAATTCAGGCAAAGATCTAGCAAGGCCGCAGGTGGCGAAGAAACCAATCAAAACCTAGTGCGCTGCGTCTACCAACGGCTGCAGTGCCGAGGTTCCTGGATCTTCCCGGCAAGGCTCCTGAGGCTCCTGCCTGCACAGCTTGCCTGGCCACAACGTCTTCAGGGGAAGCGGATGTTTGCGCCACTTCGCTCAGGACCTGCACTGCAGCAAGCAGTTTAGTGAAAGAAACTGTCACGCCGAAGACCGCTCATCAACGGGAAACGAGCTTTTATTGTCGTATGCCTGGCGCAGCTCCTCAACCTTCAAGTCACGGATCTCGTTGAGCTCCAATGCTTCCCGGAAGACCTCCGCTTGATGGTCTCGTTTGGGCTGCCATCACATCGGTTTGCCTTTGAACTTCTTGGGAAAATCCCTTGTGCTTAGGAAGCACTTCAAAGCAAATGCTGTGGAGAGAGGCTGGCTGAAAAGTCGGACAGGGCCGCTCACAAGAAGTGCAGCAAGTGGAGCAGCGCATGCAAGATGAAACCATTGGAACACGTTTAGAAGTTGCAGTTGACCGATAACAGCTGCGTTGACACAAGCGCAACTGACCAAGCCGCTGTCCGGGTGTTACAGGGTCTGGGGTCTCTTTCCATCCATACGCAAACGGGCGTACACGGGCTGTCTCAAATCCCGCTATGATGTGCATCTGCCGTGACCAGGGCCTCATCCAACTGGGCCACGCTGCGCGAAACGGCCCCAACATCAGTTCTCACCGCATTCAGCTCGAGGGCTTTGCCCGATGCCTGCCAAGTGAAAATCTGGCTGGAAGTCTCAGTCTCTAGCCTTCAAACATTCGAACGCAATGAGAAAGAGTGTTTTGCCCTTGCCGAACCTGAATCCCTTCTCGAGCGTTCCCTTTTTGCGAAATCAAAGTGGGTCCTGTCAACTCTGACATGGCATCCTAAGACTGCGAATGGCAGGCCTTCTTACCGGCCCTGTTGAGAGAGTATCCTAAGCACAAATGCCAATCCTTTGCCTCACATCCACGTGGCCCCACATCCTACCGTAACACCTGAACAGCAACCCACCCGGCCTGCTCAGGCTTGTGGCCTGCAAGCAAGTTTGAGAATTTTCACAAACACCCTCGAATCAGGACGCATAGCAGAAGAGATGGTGAAAGAACGAAGTTGCCAAATACATTTGGTTTCAAGAGCATGCATGATGACAGCCTGCACAGTCTTCGGGAGTCCGAGTCCAGTTGTTCAAGACCGATGTAAGAGCAGCAGTAGAAGTAGAACATAAGTTACATTAGGTTTTGCAGAGCGTGATTGTTGAGGAAGCAAAGTAAGGTCGAGGCGCCCGAGACCAAAGAGTCGGCAGGCAAAGAGGCTCTTCAAAACGGCTTAGCCGGGCCTTGGGAAGAGAAAGGGGCATTAGTTGTTGCTCAACTGGTTACTGTTGTGAAGGATCCGGAAGGAAAAAGTGCAACACTTTGAAAGGGTGATAGGGCAGCTCGACTTGTGACACGTCGTCTTGAAGGTTCTTACAGTAGAAGGCCCTTACGAGGATTTGGAGCTCGAGGAGCGTGAGGCAGCCAGGGGCCGAAGGACTAGAAAAGAAAACCAAAGGATGCCCAAGGTAAGCCAAAGGTAGTCAGAACCACTAACAAATCAGGAGAAGGTAAATTATCGTGCGGAGGCAGTCAGCAGCAGTAACAGTAGCACGAATAATGCCGCTAGCAGTACTATACAAAAACGCAATGCAACAGGTAAGTCACAGTCATAGGTTGGGGTTCCCGACACCCGTCCAAGAAGACAGTCTGTTGGTCAAGGGGCCTGGCCTAGATCTGCACAGCGCTCCGAGAGGCTGCACACCTTGCTGACGAGCTGCGGCAGGGAAGCCTGATCAAGCGCGGCCCCCTCCCTTTTGTACAGGAACAGGGACGCAGGGGCATCTTAACGTTGTGGTCTGCCAATTCCTTCTAAACATGAACACATCCTGACCAACAACTGGTGGACACACATTGACAACTCTCACTTCATACTGTGCATCAAATGTAAAAACACCAGAATCGGAGACAGCCTGAGCCTACTCCGTGCCTCCACACCCTCCATCCTCTGCTGCATTTCACAGAGGCCCTCGGAAAGCTTCAGGACCTGCTTGCCGAAACAATGCCTTCGCAGACTAGCAACCGCAGTAGCCTGCAAGCAGCTGGCAGCTCACAAGCGGCTAGCACCTTCGCTTCGTCCAGCTCGAGACGGGCGTGGTTTGCCTGACCAACTTGGGCAGTAAGACCAAACCCTTAGCAACAAAAAAACTGGGATCTCTCCATCGTCATGTTGGCGTCTTAGATTCTTCTGCCGTGGAGGGCACCTCATGCAATTCGGCCCCAACTGCCAGGCAGAGCTCCTCTCTTTGGCGCAGCACCTCCCAGCTTTTCAGGTGACATATTCCGGAGCTTCAGGCTGGTTGGAATCATCCATTGCCTTGATTCGCAACTTCCACAAGCTGTGCTCCCAAGCCTCGCAGCGGGCACTCAGCAAGGCCCGTTGTTCGAGCCACTCGAAGCGCTGCTGCAGGTGCTGCCTCTGTGCAAGAGCTGGCATGTGAGCTTTTTATCAATCTTTCTCCTCCCCACTTTTCTCGGCCCCGCGCTCAATCAGGGGCATAGCAGCAACAGGGTCGGGCGGTACCCTGGCCAAATTTAACTCATGTTTCAGCATGCGGTTTGCTACCAGACCTGTAGTTCCAGCACAACTCCTATTCTAGCCGGCGCAGTCGATTTGCTACTTAAGCAGAAGTAGCTCGGGCCTGGCAGGAGAACCTCCCAACAGCGTATCAAAAAAGAGATTGGACAGGCACAGGCCGCTGCCCATAGGGTCCCGGCAACTCACAGCCTTCCAGGCCCGAAAACTTTGGCAAAGCCGAGTGGCCTGGAGACGAACAAATCCAACAGCGGCGTGCTTGACCGAAAAAGTTTCGCACTGAACGCAGCGCAACCTTCGAACTGAATGCAGAACAACCATTTGAGGATGCGACTTCTGATCGCTGCATCCTCATGGCGCAACACGGTGAACAGAATCACTCAAACAAGCCTCCCAAGCCCTGGGAAGGCAAGGTCCGTCCTTGGATTCGAACTGCAAAGCCGCTCAACTACCGCAGCCACCTCGGAATCTTGCCGGAGTACAGATACGTCTGGTTTTGTCCGCAGGACGAGGTCTGACTGGGGGCTGCAGTTGTCGCAATGGTGATCCTAAACAGCATGAATTTGGGTCGGTCGCTTTTGTGACTTGTTCAGATGCAAGTCTCTGTGTGAAGTGTTGCCTCTGCACACAATCATGGTAAACAGAATTTCTTCTGAAGTTCCCACGCTGGCCTGCACGCAGAGATGCACGGCAAAACTGCAGGAGGATTCCCCTTCAGGGTCTCCTGTCTACAAAACACCTGAACTGGACTAGCCAGTCTACAACCCCCCCCAAGCTTGGTGGCCAATTGGCCCAAACTCAACATGTTGATGCTCCTTCTGCGCCTCTGGAGAGGAGTCTGTGTATCGCGGGCCATCACGCGCCTTATCAAAGTTGACCACGAGGTGGGCAAAGCCCTGCTTATACTCATCCCAATCCATCCAGAAAACTCCGTTGTCCTTGATCCCAACTTTGTGTTCGCACGCCTTCATGGCCTCAGGGAACTTGTTCCAGGTCTCCCAGTCGTCATCATGAAAGCGACCGAACCACTCATTTGTCTTGTGCGGGTTTCGGACATGCAGCATCCTGAGCGTGTGGGATTTGCCCTCACGGGTATACGGCACCTCCAACATCCTCAGCAGTGTGTAGGCATGGTTCGCCAAAATGCCTCAGCTACAATCAACTCGATCAACACAATCACTGCTCTTTACCCACTGAAGCATGAGTTGTGAGGATTGCTGAGGGGCAGCCAAGATGCCCTTGTAAGCCTGGCGCGAGTCACAGGCCATGCTGTGCCCCTCCAAACTCCAGGACATCAGCTTGGACCAAAGCCAGTTGTCACTGATTTCCGTCTGGCCTTCGCACATGACGGAAGCATCCTGAGTCCAGTAGTCCCAGGCTCCGTCATAGCTTTCAAGTCGCATGTACACTGTGGCATGCGATGCTGAAGCCTGGTCCTTACCGCAAAGGATGGTGTACGGTGCATGTGTGCCGCCTGCAAAGGGGCTGAGGCTGACGCAAAGAGACGGCTTGCCCGTCAACATTTCCAATGCCACAGACTCCCAGCCACCATCAATCCTATGATAGGATTTGACGAACTTGGAAACTGCCTTCTCCAGCAGACAAGTCCAGAACTCATTCTCCTTCGTGGGCTTGGCAAAGACCAGATTTCCGTGCTTTCCCGGTCTCTTCCAGAAGGGAAGGCGATCGTCGATTGTAACCACTTTCCACTCCTCGGACTTGGGATCGTAGAGGCGCACGTCGTAGCGTCCGTCTTCTGTGAGGGTGTTCTGCTTGAAGAGAGATCGCAGTCGGTCCGGGTACTCGGCAATGGCGGCAAAGGAGGCCACGAGCCAGCAATCGCCTAAGTAGCCTTGCTCAATGTCTCGCGGCGAGACGTGCTTAAAGAGGCAAGGCTCACCCTCCGTCGCAAAGAGCCGGTAGTCTCCTGCTTCCTTGCCAATCATCTGCCGCGGTCTCGCCCAACCCGGCACAATCAGCTTCATGGCCTCCTGGAGGTAGTCCGAGACCAGGGGGTTGGCGGCGTCGCCCGTCACTGCACCTATACTGGCATTGGAGGCGGGGAAATCCGCATCCTCAAACAGGCTGACCTGAGATCTGGGTGGGCTGGAAGCAGCTCTGGGCTGGAAGTCGTGCTCTGCAGGCGGCACTGCCGGCGTCGGGCGAAGTAACAGCCTCAAAGGGCAACCACTCAAATCAAGAAAACGCTACAGCACACAAAATGTGACCCAAAAACTTGCAAATTCAACTTTGAGCCACTTCCTCATGTGCATGCGGTTGGGCCCGTGTTTGACAACCTCTGCAGTGGTGTCCTGTGGCGTCTCGGCTTTGGCGGTTTCCGTCTCCTTTGCCACTTCCGTCTCCTTTGCCACCACCACCTCACCTAACAGGGCGCTCACCACACGATCACAGCACAATGCAAATGATCAAATCGAGCCTGGGGGCAGAGCCTTGGTGCTTTCCTTGCCGCTGCAGTTCCCCATCCTCTCTGGAATGTAAGATGCTACTAAGCAGCTAGGAACACAGCTTTTGGCCCGTGCCAGAAAGCTGCAGAAAAAAGTCGGGTCTTCCAGTCTGACCAGGAAACTCACCCGAGTACGCTCATGACACAGCGCAAGTGAGCTTATGCCATGACAACTTATGCCATGACAACACCTTCAACGCATCGCTCTGGAGGGATAACAACTGAGCGAGGGGACTGGCAATGCCGGCACATCTGAAACTGCCGGAGACCTCACCTGCAGGTGATCCCAGCGGTGATACCGGCCGTGGCAGGCTCCACTTGTCAATTGCGACCACATACCAAACGGTCACGTGCCAGGCCTGCTGCAATACAGACTTCTGGCTGGAGAGCTCATGACCGATCTTTGCGAGCCTGAACGTGAAGACAGTGAACTAAGTTTGCTAAGAAACTGCTCATGCTCCCTCATCTTGACTCATTCAACACTACATCAATCACTTCAGCAAAAGGCTGGCCGAATGACATGGGCAGAGCGTGATGAAAGGGAGCAGCGTCTGCTCAGTTGAAGCCCACTCCGACACCGACACATCTGAAACAGAACTGTAAAGCCAACCCAAACTCTTGAACTCCTGAAAATTGCGTTTCGCTCGAAGTTGTACACCAGAAGGGGCCTACAAGTTAAGAATTACCCAATGCTGCTGTGTTCTCTCGCATGCCTGAGCTCTACCTCCTCGACCACGCAGGTCAAATCCTCAGAGAGCCCACGCGCCTGGGCTGGGATTGTTCGGAGGTTTGCAAGGCTTTGCGGAGGTTGATTGAAGATCCATGAGGAGTGGAACGGATGCTACAGGTGGTATCCTGTTGCGATTCCGAGAATCGCTGGTCTGGCTTAGAAGATGATCGTGATTTGTTTGGATACCAGAGCTTGGTGGGGTCGTCCCGGCAGGATCGACTTGACTCTCAGCGGTTCGCAAAACTTGTCATGTGGAGTCACATGCTCACGTCGCATCATGTGCAGCAGTGTATCTGGGCTCCGAGCGCCTCGGTCGAGTGCCTGGGCTCGTGTCTTTTGGTTCAAAGTTGGGGTCCCCGCCGCTATCCACAAAACAACAGCATGAGACGAGGATACTTGCACAAGGACAAAACATTTTGGCAAATTTCCGATCTTCGATCACTAGAGTGTCCGACACATTTTGCAAGACATGGCGTCTGAGTGAATTGCAGGAATGCAGTGCCAGTGGCGGGTGCAGCAGCTGGCGAAAACAGTTCTGTTTACATTGAATTTCTTGGTTGAAGAAGAGCTGACCGGCAGCAGCTGTGTTGCTTTCAAGCCATCTTCGAGATTAAAAAGGTCATGATGCAGATTGCTCCGTCCACACATCCTGCATGGCTTCTGGGCTCAGACCCGAACTGCGATCGCTGCCTGCAACTCTTGCACTCGAACGCCGGCATGGGCTTTGTCACCTTCCAGCGTAGACCTGGTTTTGTCCAAACCAAATGCCCGCAGGAAACCCGGAGATGACAGTTTGTGAAGGGATTGAGGGGTCCCTTTTGAGAAACTTTGTTATTGTAGTATCGGGCATCAAAGAGCTGAGGGGAAGACACTCGAGCTGACAGGAGCTCCCCTGCCTGGAATCGATTCGAAAAACATAAGACATCCTGACCCTTCAACTTCTGAGAAAGCAAGTTGGCCTGCCGCAGGTCGCCCTGCTGGCGAGCCGAGTGCTTCTGTTCCTCCTCCAGGCGCCGAAGCCCGTCTCCCAAGCGAGTCACCTCTCCTTCAACTGCCTCAGCATGTCAAGTGCAAAAGCCCTGCGAAGGAAGTCGTCTGGGCCAGGAATTGCAATAAAAACAGGAGAGACTGCACTAGGGAAAGTTGATCAGTTTCTTTGCCCGGCTTGAGCGTACACAAACGCATCGTACTGGCTTCCCATCTGCGCAGCACTTGCTGTATCTTGTTGTGCTTCTGTGATGACCCTGAGCCCAAAACCGCAAAGTGTGTATCCCGCCTTGACTATTCAAAACACGGCTGTGCTCTATAATAATTGCATCCGCCAGAAATACGGGTCAGCAAGTAGATTTGGGGCTGTGGCTTGTAAACGGTTGTCCCAGAAGTCGCTGGCAGCAGCAGCATCCTGGATTTCCAGGGTGCCAGCATGTCAAGTTGCAGCCTCTGGCAAACTTGCATCTGTTCTTGAACATTTTTTATCCCTTGCACAACTGAAGCCTGCTCCAAGCTCGTTCGTGGAGGGTCCTGGCCTCAGTCACACAGAAGCAACAAAACATCATGCCGGCACATGTCGGGACAATTGCTTCAGATGCTTTCCAACAGAAGGCGCTGAACTGTCCTTTTTGTCCTGCAGCACACTCGCATAAGCAGGACTCCTGGAACCGGGGAAGGGTTAGGAGAGATGCCGTGTGGCATGGGGAACATGTTCTGACTCCAAAACCATAGCCCTACCTTCTGCCTCCGCCACGTGGACTTAACCTGTCGCCTCCGCAGTCCGAATATCATCTTTCATGAGGCCAGTTTGACCAATAACATTCCAAGCTAGACGGCGACAGTGGCTGTTGCAGCCAACGTCCTTTCGACTGGAGACTAAAGGTGGGAAGCTGTGGCAACAGTGTCTGCGCTGGGAATTGTTTTGGCACAAGACACTTCCAGTAATTAAAACAAGCTCGCGCCCTCTGGCGCTGTCGAATGAAGCCTGCTCCGCGAATTCGCAGTTCCAGGCCCCTGGCTCATCGGCGAAGAGGTTCTGCTGCTTCCAACTTGCTTGCAAATCTAAGGGATGAAAAGCAGGGGCCTAGGGCAGCTGGCAATGCTTTCTGGCAGTCTTGCCAGCTGAAGGCGCGGAGATGGCGTTCCTGCACGCAGTCTCTTGTAGGCATCGCTTACACTTGTCTTGGCAAAAGCAGCAACAACAACAGCCCACGGTTCACCTGCACCTCATCACAGCTTGCTGGCAATGGGGCGCTCGAAACACATTGCCACTCCTCACAGCATCGACCGTGATGGCACAACCTAGTCCTGTAGCATTTGCATCTGCGCGCTACAGCTTGACAATCAACACCTTGACCGCCGCCGATGCAAAGAGTTGCCAAACCGCGACGCTTGTTGGTCCGTCGCATTTCATGAATCAGGTCCACCTGGGTGCAGAAAGCTGGCCAGCTTGTAGCTCTCTCAGACTCAACGCTCGTGCAAGCTTAAATTAGATGCTCAGACTACCAATCCCAAAACTAATTTCCTGCTAGGAGGCAGCAATGCGGCAGCCAGATGCACCAATAGGATGGCCAATGGCTATCGCCTTCGCTTTGAGGGGTACCATAACTGGCCTAAAGAAAGGCTCCAAGAGCTGCCCAAAACTTTTCCGCAAATCCACGATGGCAAAGCAAGCGGCGCCACCGTTCACATTGACCTTGGACGTGTCCCATCCCATCTCCTTGGCCAGTTTGCTTAACAAATCGACTGTGGAAGCTCACTAAAACAAAAGAGGTCGGCGCCTTGTTCACGGCAATGGCCTGCGCTGCAAAAGCTTCATTGGCTTCGACAATATCCAGATCCTGGACGGACCATCCCGCCTGGAAAGGCAGGTGACGTATGTTCAACCGCACTTGGCTGGCGCCCTCCTCCCCTTGGCCTTCTCCAAACACTTCTTGGAGCTGGGAATGGGCCCTGTGCCTTGAGGCAAGGCCACTCACACGAGCCACTGGATGGGTCTAGAGCAGCTGAAGTACCCATGATTTTGGGATCCACCCCCGCGCTTGCGAAGCCCCGGATGTAAACCAAGGGCTGCAAGCCTAGCTCGGCGGCCTGGCAAAGGTTTGGCCCAGTTTTCATTTCATATTCCATGGTCTCATGCACTTGATTCTACATCAATCTACGTTATAGGGGTTATTAGGTTTACCAAAATCGCTCTGTTATGCTAGGTTTCTGCACTTCAGTGGGCAGTGGCCTTGGATGCCGACATCAGCAAGCATAGCGCAGCCCCATCATTGAGGCCAGAGGCATTACCTGACAGAAGCATCATGGTAGGTCACCCTGCAACCTCCACTCCTCATGAAAGGGGCGGGCCTGCTGTGACGGAGCCATCCTGGCATCGTGAAATCGCATGCTTCGACCTTCGTGTTCTTAACAGCTTCTGCCTTCTTGAAGGCGGGCTTCAGCTTGCCGAGCTGCTCCGCAGTGGAGTCTGCCTTGATGTACTCATCCTGGTCTAGCACCTGACCTCCACGGCCACGCTATTCAAGCTCAGGTCGCTTGACTTTTATTCTCTCTGTGGGAGCCTTTCTTGGAGGTTGGAACTGGCACGATCTGGTCTTTGAACTTTCCCGCCTCGCAGGGCACACATAAATGCTCCCCCGACACGCAGCTAGGTCTGATGTGGCAACAGCAATATCAATGTCAGTGCGCATACGCTGCCAACAATGCCACCATCCCGTGCAATCCTAATTGAAAGAAGGAGATGCGAGCAAGGACCCACAGCCCGCCTTCTGGGCGTCTGCAGCTTTTTGTTGGGATGCCGCTGCAAAGGCATCTTGTGTGGATCCTTGGCAAAGAGACAAGCAACGAGTGCTTGTTTCGAGGGGTTTACAGTCTCTGCTGATGCTTTGACAAGTGGCTATCTACACCAAATTTGGCTGCCACATTCTCGGCGGTGATGCCCATGTGGTACTGGTTGAAGGCACACCTTCATTACTGAGCTTCCCTTGTTTGTATTCTCCCCTGGTTTCCCTACACGACTCCAGATGCTACCAAGGTGCCATAAGCCATCAACAATCATTGAATCCACCATCTTCCTTGCTGCTAAGCCGTGCTTTGGCTGCGTATTGCAAAGCAAAAGACACCAGCAGGCATTTTACGAACTTTGACTGTGGCAAGACTGTATACCTGAAAGGTCATGCTTGAAAGGCCGAAGGATCCAGTCGCCCATTCTTTGTCCATCCCTGCTTTTGTTCAGCACGTGTGGACTGGACGACATGCTTTCCTCACAGTTGCAAAACAAAACATCCTCATTTGTTCAACAAGGTATCGCAACACGTGTCTGGAAAGCTGTGTCAAAGCATGGTGTACACTTCGTCCTGACCGCCAGCAATCACAATTTCAGCATCACCTCAGACCGCAGATACCGACTGTCACACGTCTTGCAGGACAACTGTCTGCGAACATGCCGCCTGATGCAATCGCCTGCATCCCGAGGTGCAATGCCTTGAGGCCACTTCCACAAACCTGCACGCAGAACAAACGGCATGAGTTCAAGCCCACAAGACCTAGCCAACCGCCTTGTTGATGGTTAAAGCCGGGCAAGTCTCAGGCAGTCCAGCGCTTATGACTGCCTGGCGACATCTTCTAACAGAATCTAAGGCTCCCCTGTTGGCAAGACTCGCTATGTTCGCTTTCTTGCAAAAGCCGCTGTAGAGCTGGATGCAGCGTCCGCTTTATACACGTGTGGGCTTGCTACAAACAACATACATCATCACGCAATCAAAGGCCTGTCGTGCCGGGTTTTGGCCACAGCCCGCTGTAAGCACTTGCCCAATGATGACCTGCAAAGCCACGTAGTGTCTCCACAAAACAAGTCTGGTGCGATACATCCAAAGGAGGCTGTAAAATGGGAACTTTTATCCGAACCTCAGAACCTCCTTACATCCCAACTGTGTTCCAAATTGCACAGCAGCCCAGGCCGAAGCGTTGTGGCATTTGCAACTATGGGGAACATATTGCACGCAAGCATGGCCAGTGGGGTGTGTGAAATGCAGCACCCACACCTCATCAACCATGCTGTTCTTCACCTTGCCAACTGTGTCCTTGCATCAGGGCAAAAAAATCTCGGGCACATAGCAATAGACCCGGCAATTTTCTTTCCAGGGCTAGACTATGACTCGAGCAACGAGCCAAACAACACCTTCCCGGTCAATTTTCGCCAGGGTTCCCCCAGCAAGGCTTCGATAACCCTGGCACCCAACACATGGGCAGGCACAGCGGCAAGCGAACCGCCAAACTTGCCCACTGCCGTGCGCCTGGAGTGCTACAGGTACATGCAAGCTAAGCTATACGGCGTGTCAGTCGCTTACGAATAAAGCTTGTCTTGTTGCATACCACATGAACATGCCACTCAAGTCAAATCTGTAGCTGCCGACCCAGCCACCTGGCAGAAACGATTACAACTTCAATCGCCTTTTGCGCCATGACTGCGCAACGTTTTGAGCCAAGCTTGCGAAACAAGGGAACAGGGATGACAACAGGCACTCCTGCCATTTCAAAGATGTCTGGCTGGTGTGAGCGGAACCTTTGAGCTGCTCACCGTGTCCTGGCAAGCGCACCGTGTCGTCCGCATCACGAGCTTCGGCCCGCCTTGAGAAACAGGACTGCTCATGCTCATGCACAGTTAAAGAGCGACCCCAAGAATCGTTGCATACAGGACTACGATCAGCTGACTAGCAGTTTAATTGGGTTCCGCATGATGTCCAAAGCCGGTCTTGCTCAAGCAAATCCCTCCACTGCAGCCGGGATCCCAATAACTCAATGTTCTGTGATCTTTCGCAAACCCCTGTCCAAGCCGGTGGCAAGCGCACGTCCGCGGGTGGTACTGGGCTGGTGCCCGGCGGCTGCCTAGGAAGGAGTGCTCGCTGCCGAGTTCCGATGGCACATATACTGTGGCGGTTTCCCAAAATTAGGGGTACCTTTTTGGGGTACCTATAATAAGGATTAAGGTATATTTGTTGGGGTCCCCTATTTATGGAAGCTACCATATGGCATAGTGATGATTGAAGATCATTCAGCCCAACTGTAAGGCAACCTGGCCTGGCAGGGGACATGCCAATGGCAAAGGCTGCCTCCCTCATGCTCACACCCACCTCGACACATGACGAGCTGCAAAAAAACGTCATTTTGAACGAAAGCTGCTAGCTCACCGAAATCATGCCTTGTTGAGTGCAGGCTGCTGTGACTGTGCGGCGCTTCACTCCCCGGACCACCTTGCCAAGGCGTCGTCCCGGCAGCTTCGCAAAAGCGGGTGATGGTGGAAGTGCATCGGGTTGCCTTCAAAATTCTGTGTTTCCGATTCAATTCACACACACTGCTGAGCTCCCGACTCCCATGAGTCTGGGCGCCGCAAATTCAGCCTTCGTAGCAGGGCACACCTCCTAAAACAGCGCTGCCAAATCCAGCAAGCGGTATACGGTTTTATAGGGTTTAGACCGGTCTTCATGGTGTATGTACAAGGTTTAGTCCCCGCATAGCCTGCCCTCGGCATTTGCTCGGAAAGCCTCCAGCTCGCATCTTGCAAGCACTCCAAAATTTGCCTAAATGCGGTCAACTGCACCTCAAATTCTCGACGCAATGCCAAAACGTCCTTGCAAATGCATAGACTTTCGGCCGGCTGAATGCATTCGGATTGTGCAACTGTCCTCGGCGACGCCGCGTGCCCAGCCTTTGAGGCTCTTGGAATCCTCGAACCCCTGGGCATCATAGAACTGACACTTGCACTTTAAATTATCTATTGCAGTCCTATCAGAACGGTCCCGCAGCACACAAATTGGCAAGCCAAGTGCCAAACAGTCACATTGCTCCTCCCAGTATGTGCGGTTCGGCCACTGGCTGTTGATCCTGCAAAGTGCAAAATATCATCTTCCCTCAAGGTTAAACAGACTCAATAACTCCAGCATGGATGCCTGCTGAGAAACTGCGGACATCAGAAGGCATGGACGCATCAACCTCCGCTCCTGACTGTCAACTGTGGCTGGCAAGTCTCAACGACGTGAAGAGTGAGAGCACATGGAGGCAACCAAGTTGACCGATAAATGCAGAAGCCATTCATCATTCGTGAACGTTTCATCCAAGTCGCCATGCGGGCTTCTGCGCAACCATGTCAGCAGCAGCTGGCCATGCACGAATAATTCTGTCGTCTGTTACAGCGCAACGTTCTGCATTTCCCGACAATGCTGCGTGCCAAACGTGACTGACAAAAGACAAAAATCCTGCAACGACATGTCTTGCTGGTGCTGACACATGTTCTCCATTGGATTTGATGTTTTTTCATGACTGTTGTCTGTAAACGTTTGGGCGCTGCATGGTCAAACATGCAAATCTCTAGTGGCTCAAATTTGTATAGTGTGAGTTCTGCGCAGCACGCTCCGCGCTTTGTGGCCCGCCAACGCCTGCCCTAACTTTTGCTCTCTGTGTTGGCTAAATCCGCCGTATCAAATCAGCCAACTGGTATATCGCCAATGTCCAAAAAAATTGTATATCGCCAATATCAAACCTGTCTGACATAATGAGCTTCCGACAGTGAGGACTCCTTATGAGGTCGCTCGGTATTTGAACATGCGTCAAGCCCATCCCCATCCATAGCTAAATCAACCGGTTGGGCGTGACGCTTCAAACATACCAAAAATGATGCAGGCCAATTTGTGGGCCGTCCCGCCCCCCCCCCCAGGTCTGCAACTGCCTGGCAAAGCAACGTTGCATTGGCACTTTTTAACCTGGATCTCCAGATGCCTCTGCCCTAAGGGCAAACAATGGGCACTATTTCCATCGCAACTTGCGTATATTAATATTAAGATGTGAAATAGCATGTACAGTGCACGACAGCACATAGTGCTGTACACGGCAGCGGCAGTTACAGCTTTTCCCATCGTAAAGCCAATGGCTGCCAGCCCAACAAATTCACTCAGCAAAAAAAGCCATCTAAACATGCAATCTGCTCAGAGTTTTTTTGGGGAAGGGAGTCACTAACCCGGCTTCTTCTCCATGTCCGCGGGCCCCAGCAACGTCCCTTCACGGCCACGTCTTTGTAGTCGCATCCTGGTCTTCGCTTGCTTTTTTCACGACTGAGGGATGTTGGATGTTGTGTTGAGGGATGAGCCTCAAACGTCTTCGAGGCTCGGGTGCCTGTCGCGAGTTGAAGGCAAACAGAATTATTTTGTGATTTGCAGGGAGGCAGTGGCCTCCTGCAAGTACTTTGAAGCCATGTTCTACAATTGCAGTTGCATCAGATCAGGCAATTGCTTTTTGCCTCGGCCGCCAAGCGCTGTAGCCGCAGGCGGCGACGCCTGTTCTGCAGATGCCCTTCGTTTGACTGGCTGCCTGTAACATCAAGCCATGTCATAAGTCGTCCCAGGCGCCAGTCGCGAACTATGCCGCCCACTTGGTTCTGGCTCGGGGCCCGGCAAACTAGCCTGAGGATGCCAGATCTTCCAAAAAATGTTGCTCAAGACTACCCGGAAAACATCTCTTTGCTGCCGAGACACTCTAGCTCGCGATGCTTCTCCAACATGTACGCGCGCACGTTCGAGGCATATAGGCTCGTATCCGCCTCAGATTCCAAACAAGAATTCCCGCAATAGGGAGCTGTTAGAGGGCCTATAAAGGCGGCTCAGAAGTGGCCGGAGTATTCAGGCATGCTTTCAGCTGTTGCGCACTGCAACACAGCGCCCACTGCTGCTTCCAAGATTCTTTCTCCTTTGCTGTTGGGTAGTATGGCCTAGGCATGGTTTCTGTAAAACCTGCACACATCCCTTGGAGGCTGTTGAACACATCACTGCTTACTCTGCCAAATGTCTCGCAAACGAAGATGGTACAGCTGTGTAGAAGATGTGCCCAAAAGTTCATCGCCTAAGTTGCCAAAACCAAAACTCTGTTGGCGAGCGCACGAGCAGTATTAGCCTGCACTGGTTGCAAGCCGATAGGAGGAAGGTGCTCACAGTGCATTGAAGCTGCCCACTCGCCGTCGGAGTATATGGCATGCTGACCCTTGGCTACCCAAGGAAAAAAAGGCATGATACATCCCAGCACATCCCAGCTGTCTGGCCCTTGGATATTGCGACCCCAGACTTTGAGCACTGAACATCCTCTGTCATCAGGTAGTCCTCAGGGGTAGGCACTTTTGTGTTGCGCGGAGAAGACGTGTTGGGGTTCGGCGACTGAGGAGATAATGCGGCTTCGAACCAGACCGCCAATCCCTGCAGCCACGGGGCTGTGCAGGCAGGATTCCAGGACCCGGTGTGCCTAAGCAAGGAAATGATGCAGGTGCTTAGCGATGCCCACTGCAGCTGCATGAAGAGACTTGCTGGTGTGAGCAGAAAGCCTGTACTGGCACTGACCCATTACAAACCAAGAGGCTTCAAGAGCACTGGCCGCCTCGGCAAGGCTCTCGGATTTCAGTTCTTTGCTGATCAACAAAAAGAATTGGTGCTGCAACTGAACCAAGCCAGATATGTTGGGAAGATCCTAGACATGACCCTGACAATGCGACCAGGGGCTTTACTCTTGGTCAGGGTCCCTTGTCTAACAAGCTTGATGTTCCTGCTGCTGCCGCCACAGCTGCCATCGCAGCCACTGCTGCTAGCACTAAGGATGCAAAACTTGTGATGCTACCACTGAAGCATCCACATGACGGCCATGGGTAAACAAATACGAATGTGAAGAGAATGACTCTTTTGCTGCCAAGAACTCTGTAGACACTAGCGAAACCACATTCACAAACAGCTGAACCAAAGGAGCCAGCTTGAGGGTATTTGGGGGGGTAGCCTCACAACTTAAGAAAAGCAGGTCAGTTTGGCTGCCATGCTCCACTGCCCCAGGCAACCTGGTGCGCAAGATGTCACAGCCAAGATGCACAGGAGCCCCTGAAAAGAATGCGCCTCGGGTCCATGAGAAGGCACATATGGGAAACACAGTGCGCTGCACTGCTAGTACCGCTGCAGAACGGCAGGTGAAACCTTTAGAACCTTAAGTCCCGAAGCTGCAGTCAAAGGCTGGACCTTGCTGTTTTGGAACATCATGCACTTCAAATTCCATAAAGCCATGACTGCTTAGAACTGCTGATGAAAGCACCTGCTATCATCTCTTGATTACCCTATGAGTCTGAGTCTAGATCCCTGCTTGAACTCCAGGAGGGATGTGCCGTTGGATGTCGTTCCCTGACAGACGGCTAAGGCCAAGCATCAGGCTGGAGACCATTGATCTATCTACTGTAGGCAGCCTGAGCAGGGAATGCCCCCCGCCTCGGGAAAGATCAAGAGAGGACGGTCTCCGTCTTTCCATCCTTCTACCTCAAAATGATGTCAAAAACTCTGATTTCCCTGGTGCAAACTGTGCTCCAGGCGGTACTTTAGTCAGGAGCCATTGCATTTCCAAAATCTTCCTCCTGCGAGGCCCCCACGTGCTCTTGGATGGCCTTCATGGCGGCACCTCTCGAATCCTTTGAGCTCCGATTCACCTGCTCAGAAACTTCCCTTCACATCTGAATGATTGCGAGCTGCACCATCCAGAGCCGAAATCGGGTGGGTCCAGGGCTCCAACCACCAAGAGTGACCAACACTGGTAGTGGGGATGCAGCACCTGCCTACTGCAGGTAGGAATACCTCACAGAAGTGCGGCCATGTGACCCATACGTACTCCAGGTCATTTCCCAGTGTGCCAAACAAAGGTGCATTTCGCACACTGGCCTGCACGGAGCATCCCTGTGTGTGTGTACTTCTAGCACTTCCGCTTGGCGCCAAAAAAAAAACGTTTTTCCTCAAGCAGAAGGCTGCCCAAACCAGCCAGGCTGCCATTGACATGAACTTTGGCATCTGCAAGGCAAGAGGAAGGACTAGAACCTTGGCTTGAATTTCGAACGAAACTGATCATGCTAACTTGCTCATGGCATGATTTGTCGCATGACAAGGCACATCCAGGTAGCTCATGTGATTCGCCACAATAATGGGAGTGGACCTGTCAAGGCAGAGCCAGCTCTGGCACAAGCACTGTAGGCGATGCGACGGCCTCAGCATCGCTTGCTGGTCCGCCTCACATGCCGGAAGTGGCCCAAAGTTGCCATTGCCGTAATCGCATAAGACCTTGGCACATGCAATCCTTTCTTCACAAAACTCTGGATCGGCTTTGCCGGCTGCGCATCTTGGAGTCCAATCAGCTGCTTCCAAGCCGCGTTTGGAAAGATCCCATTGGCGTAAATGAAGCCTTGTGGCACGGCACGTCACCAGGCTACACTTGCTACCTCTTCTAGACCATATCACGCTTGGGGAAGCTTGCAGGCAGGCAGCTGAAGCATCCAGCCTGCGAGAATCTAAACCGATCAACAATTGCCACGAGGCATGGCGCAAGATTCCCTCCAGCCAACTCATTGACAGCAACTCGTGCCGTGTGTCAGGCACGTTGCAGGCAGAGGCTACTGCCTTGAAGCTCGGAGAGTCTGCGATTCGCCAACCACCCAAGCTCCAGAGCCTGAGGGTTTCAGCACGTTGGCGTAAACCCAATTTCTCCCCTCTTTTTCTTGCCGAGGTAGGTGCTTTGCCAAGGAGTAGCCCACAGAGAACGGCACCAGCCCCGCCAAGGCAGCCTTTAAGGATGGGCGGAATCTGGGAGCTGTTAGAAATCTGCAAGGCAAAACTTCCATGTGGGTGGCACACGGTGAAAGCTCTTGCGTATCGCTGCGTGAACTCAACTCAGCAAGTGCGACGGGCATGCCACACTGCCATACTGCTCGCCAAGGCTCCACGACGTGGACTGCAGCTGCTGGAAGGGAACTGGGCCAAGCTCGTTCCAAAAGAAACGCGTGGATGTGCAACGAGTTGAGGGTGCGAGCGCTTCCCTAAATACTGGAAGTCTTTGTAGACGTGCTGCAGCACGTAGGTAAAGAGACTGAACCACGACCGCAATTCAGCGGAGATCTCCCAGAACCGGACATATGACTCTTCCCAAATCTGAGGCATGCAAAGGGAATCTAAGACACCCCTGGAAGCCAAGACACTCCAGGCTGAGTCGGCTTGGCAGGTGCACAGTGTTCTGCTCCAGCGGCTTCTGGGAGACCGGGCAGGCCAAGAAGGCCCATGTGGGATCAGCTCACAAGCACGGCGAAAGTTGTATGTACAGGTGGGGTGTGTCAGAGACAACGTGTTTCAAGTCCTGTATCGGTGACACCACCGCGCCCGCTTTGGCCTGTTGCATGCACATTTGCGTGGCTGTTCATGACATCACACTCGTTTGCATTTGGACTGCTTCTGTCATGCTGCATGCCGACAAGCTTGCACCCCTGTACTAGGATGGATCCCAAGGATAAGCCCAACCATTCATCCTGCCTGCACTATTGCCAAGTTGTTCTTCGTCTCACTTTCCTCACCTCAGGCTGTGATCAGAGATGTTGGTCTGGCCAAGCCTTTGGACCATTGACTACCCAGATGCGAATGAGATGAGGCGGAAATCAGAAAGTTGCTTCCGCTTCTGCTCGAGAGCACAAAACACACCGATGTAGAGGTTCAGACACAAACAAAGGCGAATAAAGGCGAGCTATGTCAACCAAACATAAACACCTCGACCCGGGCATTGGTTATACGCTCTAGCAGCTCCATAGCACAGACGCCGAAACCATTTTGACCTGAAGAGTCTTGCTGGAAAGATGCTAGCTTTGGCTTCGCCTTCTGCTTGGCAGGGAGACGATGAGCCATGATCTGTACGCCTCGCCCAGCGCACGCAGAATCTTGAAATCTCATACAGCAAGCCTTCCGCGTCTCTGATGCCAAGCAACCGTCGCACAGAGCTTCGGTTGCCATGGCTTTTCAAGACCAGGGCCATGTGCACAGTTGACGAATGTTGTGTCTGTTTTTGTACTGATTAGGCCACGGCCAGCTCATCAACGGTCCCAGAACTCCTCCCTGGAAGGATGCTTCATAAAAACTACCATATGATTATAGGGGATATAGAGGTAATATAGGGAATTTTATGGCAGCCCACGGAGGCTGAAGTGATTTCATGCTCGAGCAAAAGCGATACACAAGCACAAGTGACATCATCTCTCAAGAGCCATGGATTGGCTGCTTCCGCCTCTCTCATTGATAAGCGTCACCGCCCGAGATCGGGCCGTTCCAGAACACCATTTTGCACTGACTCGCAGCTCCCAGTCGTGCTCTTGAGGATTGATATTGCAAAGGTGAGTGTCCAACCTTGAAGCTGCTAAACCAACAAGACTTCACGCATGTTGCATACACCCTGTCCACGACTCTGAATGCACAATGCTTGCCAGACCTGCATGCTTGGGAAACATGCTGTGCTACATACCAAAGCCACCCTTTTGATGCTCGAAGGCCGCTATTCAGCCTGCCCCAATGGGCTGAAATGTCTACTGAGCTGACACGCGGAATGGAAAACTTCCTGCCATTGGCTAGCAACCTTCTCCCAGTAGCACCATCTGGTAGTGACTCCCACACCCGGCAAAGGAGTAGACACCCAGCCACGTTGTTTCGTCATGGCCTGTAATTTGCGTTAGCTGATTCGTCCGCCATGATCGTTTCTGTTGCACAGCTCTAGCTCAGATTCTTTCAAGCAGGTGTGAGGTGCAGCGCTTGTCAAGCTACGAACTGGACGCGGAGAAATGCTTGTATTTTGCGATATGCAGCACCGGCATAAGTTGCATTTTACAGAAGAGATGCAGATGCATGTGGCTTTCGAGGTGTAACAGCTGCTCGCACGCTGCGATGCTTCGACAGATGAGGATGGTGCTGAACCGTGCAGTGTAAGCAGTACTGTTTCTCTGAACCGCTGCCACTGTATGCACAACTTTCACTGAACAGCTTGGGAAGCCTTTTTGCAACAATTGTCAAGTGCTGCAGCCTAGTTTGGGCAAACCAGCTGATTGTCAGCATGTACGGTTTGAGGCTACCAAAGGGCCAGCGCCAGATATAATCTTAGCATTCTCCTCTAGCAGGCCAATGTCACGTGCCAGGGCTGTTGGTAAGATACAGCTTGATTGAAAAAGGAAACTGCACTCTTTCGTAACCCTTTGGGTTGAGAGTGGTGACAATTACCTGGAGCTCTTGTGCGCGTAGAGAGCTCTGGAAAGCCACTTGCACACAGCTGATGCGACGGAAGACCTGGGTAAAACCGGAGCCCCTTGCTCTCAGAATGGCTATCCATCGTGCAATCAAGTGGCTGGGTCTTGCCGCTGCCATTGCCAGGCTCAGCGCACGATAGGTGGCCTGCCAGAATGACTGTCCGCATGGTTGTGGTGGCACCGTCTACCCTTGCGCTTTTAGCCAGCCACCTTGTCCGTCCCAGGTTCACGAACGAAGGAGTCGAAACGAATGCAGGGCTGGTGCTCCTCATTGACCGGACACACGCCATGGCCACATTAGACACACTTGCATGCCAAGTTTCCACCCACTGCAGCATGTTCAACTACACATGATGGGCCCTGGCTTCACAACTGCTGGTGTGCTAGTGATGTCTACGGCCACTTGAATTGGTCGTCTCGCAGTTATGCTCTCGCAGGCGGGTCCTGAGCTCCCCGGCACTCTGGGACTGAGCAGACAGTCTAAGTCGCATGCAGTGGAAACCAAATAGCTTGTGTTGTTCTACGCGTGGTTCTTCAAGCTTTGCAGCTACTGGGCATGAGACGACAACAACAAGCACGCATGGCACAAGAACGCCTGAAACCAAGTTCATGCACAATGCCAAACTCCTGCCTTGGGCATGCGATCTGACAGCAGCTGGGTGCGATAAGTCGGCCTCCGCCGAAGCTGAGAGGACGACGTGCCTTGGATGTTTAAGATAACACAATTTCTGGAAGGGCTGCCTTGTTACCGCTCGGCTGTGTGCGCAAGGCTCCCCCTAAACTTTCACATCCCTACAAGTGGAGGATGCTTGCTGCAAAGCATGCCAGGAGACTGGTATCCTCCACGAAGCTGAACTTGTCAATCCTCAGGTATGCGAGACGGAACAGCCTGGGAATGAACCCCTGCCATCCTCGGAATGAGAAAACACATCAATCACTGACAGCTTTTACAGTCAGCGCTTGTCACATCCCAGCAGACTTCTCATTTTCTGTCTGCTGGCCTAAGCAGGGGCTAGCTTGTGAGCCTGCCTGCGATTCCACTGCACTGCTATCTGGCCAGCTCTGCACGTTCACGGTCGTGAACCCAAAGGGTCAAGGCAAACCGATCTCCATGCGACTCCAGCACCTCATGCCAAATCTCCTGAAAGGCGGCAGATCGACTCACTCCACCCGTCTTTCACACGGTCCACCATAGCCCGCCTCTGACATGAAGACCACCATACGCCCTGGAAGCGGCTCGATGGTCTGAGATGGGCCCTGGCCTGATCAAACCCCGAAATTCCGCAAAATCTAAGAAGTCTTCCAGCAACTCCCAGGCAAGCTGTCCTTGATCAAATGGCGCCCAGGCCCGAAGCTCACCGCCCACCTTTGGACTCCAACCGTGGTTGCAGTACAGCAGCACTGTGACCTCATCAGCTTGAGAGAAGATTATATTGGGATGATGGAAAATCAAATGGAAAAGAAAATGGAAAATGAAATGGAAACTAGGGAATATGTAGGGATTATTAATGGTCTTCATATCTGGGGCCTGGGGTTACATTGGGGTTATATAGGGATAATGGAAAACAAAATGGAAACTACTATAATGGGGGTTATATAGGGTATATATTGGGGTTACATTGGGGTTATATAGGCTCATGGCCTGATTACATGCTGCCCCAACTGTTCGGACGCGAGGCTTTCCGCGGCACGTCATCTTGACAGCCTGAGCATGCCCCTTGCTCACGGCTCTCCAAAGATGTTTCCAATAACACATGCAGTCCGAATCATTCTCCGACAAATGCTACGAAAACATACGAAAACCCTGCAGTAGTTCCCTTGAAACGAGAGGCCTTGCAGAAAGTAGCTGTCCAGGTGCATCTTGTAGGATGCACGCGGGGGATAGCAGGCGGCCATGACGGACTGGGGCACGGCCAAGTTCAAGCCTGCTTCAGGGAAATCCTTTCCTACAAAATGGAAACAACACGGCACTGGCATCCTGCCTAAGAGCTCTTCTAGAACTGCTGCCAAACCAGCTAGTCGTTCGGTGACCTTCAGGGAGAACTCGCTTTTGATCCAGCCATCCACTCTTCTGACTTGAGAAAGAAGATGATGGTAATCCTATGTACATAGCCCGGGTTTGTAGCCTGCATGGTGATGGGACACTTGGCCCGGAATTCGCTGGCTGCATCATCAGAGCCGTACGGAAGATATTTAGCTTCCTGCCAAAGATGCTGATTCTTGTCATCCTAACTAACCATCTGCGGGATACCCGAATCCAACCGGTGGGAAAAGTCAAGGAAGGCTGGTCCGAAAAAAACAGAACATAGACCAAGGCTACAACATCTCCATAGACGTCAGCGAAACAAGATGCGAAAGCGGAGTCCTGAAGCGGGTTGCAGACATCGTTCACATCGTTCCTGAACAGGTGAGTGAGTGCTGTCCAGCGCAGAAAGGCAGCTGCTGCAATCGGAACGTGCTCTCCATCACAAGAAGTACAGGATCTGGAGAAGCAACGTGACATGTCCCAGTTTTCAGCAATTATGAGTAGGGGCTCGCGGATTGCAACTGTAAAAATACACATCTTTTGCAGGATGGCACATCACCCCACGAAAATCATGCGACCAAAAACAGCAAATCCCCAGTCCCACTTGTACCATGACATGTCACTTTCTTCTCAGGATGTGATGCATGTTGGGCTTTGTGGTTTTCACAAACCAAAACAAAGCTGCAAGCAGCAAGTCATGGGCCAAGTGATCCTGCACCTAGAGCGTAGTCCCGTCACCCCCGGACCCTGCCCAGTGCGCATATGATCAGCCAAGGTGCTGCAAGACGTGTGCACTTCGGAGCATCTTCAACTCTGATTGCACCTCAACAGCAAGCAACCCAGTCAAACATCCAGACATGCAACATCCAAAATGCGTGATTCTGGTGCCTCGATGAGAGCACCCCTCTCTGCATGGGGGAATAATCCTGAACCCACGTTGCCTGCGCCACAGCTTCGGGAGGGAAGGCGCCATCAACCTGAGACAGAATACTTGCGCACCTACAATTGCAACAAGTACACCCTTGTCGTAAGGTCTCAGTGCAGAAACGCTGGGACTCAAGTCTTGCTGTCGGAGAAACATGCATGTGGCCCATTACAGCCCCCACATCCGGGTCCTCTTGGCATGTAATAAGGTTTTGCATGTTTTTGTTTGCAGTCCCAGCCACCACGGCGAAGCGCCGAGAGCGGAGCACCTCGGCCGCACCACTCAGGAGCTCCGCAGCCCCGGGGTGGCGCAGGGCCTGCAGCTCGGAGACTGGAAAGTTCCAATTTGGGGGTGTGCCTCCATGGCGGTTCCAAAGGTAATTAAAGGCCATAATGTTTGGTGGTGAACAATAGGGTCCATCTTGGGCGGAACTACTGGCGTGCCCTCATTTAGCATGAAAGCACCTGGCCTTCGGCAGCACGCATTGCTCAGCGACTCCGCGCCTCAGACTTGCGCTTCACTTGGGATGGGGTAGCGGAGTGGCTTGTCTTAGCCCGTCGTGTCTAAGAATCTTTGACATGCCTAGGATCAAACCAAATCAAAATGCACGTTTCTGCTTGTTCTGCACAAAGCATGTTTCGCACATCAGCCAAGTGTACAGATCTTTGCGTAGATCTGCGTAAGCTAATCTCCCAGAAGCCACGCCAGAACATCTGAGCCCAAAGCACAAGCCCCGCAGACGAAAGGTATCGCTGCAACTTCTTGTTGATGCGATACCTGCACATATCGTCCCTGCGTGCTTGAAACACTAGCCATGGCTGTTGTCGGCCGTTCCAAACTTCAATCCTGGAACAGATGAAAAGCTGGTAGGGCTGCAGGATGACAGCTTCTGCGCCACGCCTTCTTAAGAGCCTTGGAGCGATGCGATGGCTCTTTTTAAGAGTGCAAGTGAGAAATCTAGCCAGCTGAGCAAGCTCTCTACAAATCCAGCCAACAAACAGCATGTTAAGGCTCATTCCATTTGCAATCACTAGTCACTAGCCAGCTCGCTCAGAGGCAGAAAACGGGAAGCAACTCATTCATTGCTCCACCAGCCAAGCACCCGAAGAACTGAGCATATGGTATGAGAAGTCTTCAGAATCCTGGAATGTTATGACTGACTGGTAGGCATTTGGAAACTGGCGGTTGACCGTGAGATTTCAAGCTGGTCTTCATTCATGTCGGAGCTGATGGCTGCAAAAAGTGGCGTGGACAAGTACCTTTCGCCAGTGTCTGCGATAACCTTGGTACACAGGAAAGTCTTTCAGCCAACATCAAGCCCTCGGACAGCCAATTTTCCCCTCTCTGGTGGATACATACTGGATTGACACAGGACCACGTAACAGATTCAACTTAGAGAAAGGCCACGAAAGCTAGAGGCGTGAGGCTTCAGAATTCCATACATCCCACAGCCTAAGCCAAACATATGCCACGGAACTTTCCAACGTGATGGCTGAATTTGTTGGGAATCAGCTTTTACTACATTAGGAAGCTGCAGAACTTTACCTGTTCTGCCGGTGCATGGGGGGTTGGGAGGGCCTTTGGGGGGGGTTGAATGAGGGCCTGGAAGGAGGAGGGGCCCTGCCATAAGTCAAATACACATGTGGGGGCCTTCATATGGTTTTTGGGTCTGATCAAATTTAGGGGAAAGGAAGAACATGCAAGCGACGGTGAGTATGACAGAACCTTCTGGAGCATCCGCAGCAACCTGGACAGCTGCTAGCATGGAGCTCCTCCAGAAAAGCCTGTGAAGATGCCCTGGGTGGTGGCAAGCTTCCTTGCCATGTCAGCAGCCCCTCAACCGGGCGTTGCCACAACTTGGTCGTAACCCGGTTCCGTTGCAGATGGTTTGCATTCTGAAGGCAGGATGGGGCACAAAAGGGCTACCATCATAGTGGCGTTCCATCGCCATGCCTGAGCGCACCATTGGGGACTCCATCGGCTCTGCCAGGCACCGTTTCACCTCCGGCCTCGCCTCTTTGATGGCCTGGCCTACACCAGCAAAGGTCCCGCCGAACGAAGAAGTCCAAGCGCTCCCCGTAAAAGTCACGCAGAATTTCCTGCCCGGTTGTTTCATAATGGAATTTGACATTCGCCTCATTCTCAAACTGGCGACACAAGAACCAGCCGTGCTTCTTTGAAAGCTCTTTGGCTTTTGCTACCATGCCAGTTCCCCCTGCCGACTTTAGAGTTGTGATCACTTTGGCTCCGAGGAAGCGCATGAGCTTGCGACGCTCGATCGAGAAGGACTCGGCCAGCACAATGATGCAGCGGTAGCCACGTTGAGCACAGAGCATGGCGATTGCAATGCCAGTGTTTCCTGAAGTTGCCTCGACTACTGCGGACCCGTGCTTTAACAGGCCCCGCTTCTCGGCATCCTCTATGATGGCACAAGCCGTCCTGTCCTTCACGCTTGACAGAGGGCTGAAGTATTCCAGTTTGGCATAAATCGTTCGCCCATTCGGGCAAATCGCATCTGAAATCTCGACGCATGGGGTGTTCCCAACTGCTTCAGAAACATTAGCATGAACACGCCCTCGACCTTTGCCGGTCCATGGTGGTGCAGCAAAGGCAGAAAAGCAAGACATGGCCTGCCCTCCTGACTCGGGCGTTGAGCCAGCTTACATCGACAATGTTCGGAAGCGTTCACAGACCGTCACGCACTTTACGTATGAGACAGACGAGAGTGTGCAATGGAAGAAGCACTGTTGGAATTCACAGCTGGCGCCTCAGTGCCACCACACTGGCTCTTCTAGCCACGGCGACCGGCTGCTTCACGTCGCGCTGCGACTGGTCAAGAAAGCCTGCATCCGAACCCTTTGATGGGGCACCCATAACGAGCCATGGAGAGCAGCCCATTGCAGGCAGACTTTGCAGATGCTACCAGATGCTACCAGGCCGTTCCCATGGCCCCTGCATGGCATAATCAGTGCACGACGCCGTACATCAAGCCCCTAGTTAGAGCACGTCCAATCCTAGACGCCAACGAACCTGAAGCATCTGGCGGCCTTTCTGGACAAGCTCAGCTTGGCCCTCCTCACTGCGGCTGCACTCACCCACGCTGCTGATCCAGTAGCCCGCCTTTCGCTTTCTCAGGGGGCTAACTAACAACCATCAGAGCTGTCATTCTAACTCTTAGCAGGACTCTGCAACCATGCCTCTTCCTGCAGAACTGCAATCAGAAATAAACAACGGCATGCTACATGATTTGCCCGTAAAGTAGCCATGAGTCTGAGCAACGGTCCACATCCTGCCTCTGCATCACCCAGCAGCCCACCCATCCTCTGGATTTCTTCCATGAGCACCTATGACAACAATTACGTGATGACGCAACACAACACTGCAGGTCCAAACATCCATGGCTCTTGTAGGCTCTAGTGCAATGTGGTGCCACGAAAACTCGGCTTATAACATTGCCAAATGTCGCGCCTGCGGCTCTCCCTTGGCCACCTGCGCAGTCCGCGCACGGACCCTGCGCAAGGCCTCGAGGACCGCTGACAGTGCCTCTTTCATGGCCTCCACAAGAATGGACTGGAAACACAAATGATTTTAGACCAGATGACCATCCTAAGCTAACGATGATACATGACGTCATTAGCTCACGTGTCTGGCTAGTTTGGTGAAGCCCCAGCCTCGGAAGCAAGAAGTCGCGCAGCTTGCTGCAAGCGTTCCTCACGAGAGAAACTGGAAAGGCCAACAAAACATTCTGCAAAACGCTCTCCTCTGCTGTGCTGAGAAGGCCGATGGACTCCAGCGCCAGAGAGCTGAGGAAACCCAGGCGCCAGTGCCGAGAGCTCAAGAAGAGCCCATGCTCGCAGGCCACCTGCACGACTCTGATAAAACAAAGCTGTTCCCCTGGACCCCCCGTAGTTGCATCGATACCCAGCATCTAACGAGCAAATGTTGGAACCCCCTGCAGTCCCCACCGCTGCATCGAAGGGAGCTCCAAGCTCAAGGCGCAGGCGGCCCACCTTGCGCAAGGAATTCCAACATGAGGCTTCAACAGTAAGCCCTTGCTGACACCCGCCTCTGCCCAAGCCTCTGCTGCAAGTGCCTCCTGACCGCGGAGCTTGGACCTTTGTAGCCAGAAGCTGATCTTCAGTCTGTCCACCAAAGTTGTGTTAAGATTATTGGGGTTATATAGGGATTATAAGGTATATATTGGGGTAATTTAGGGATAATGGAAAAGAAAATGGAAACTACAGAGGGGTTAATATAAACATCCTCCGAGCCACCAGAGCTGCGCCGCTTCCTCAAAGCCCCTTTGTGCCAGTGACAGCTCCTGTCGTTGCTCAGCACGCCGCGCCTCCTGACACATAAAACAATTCGGAAACCTGTTCGCAACGTTGTTGGTGTTTGTCGTCCAACTTTCCAAATTCTACTAGTCCTCCTTTTTTTCCCGTCCAACCACTGGCATCAAGTATGCCGAATCACTTCCTGACATCCCTGCTAGTCTGGATCTAAGACACGTTAAGCTGATTCCAGAAACTTGAGCTGCAAGCATACAACGCCATTTCGGGAGGATTGAGCAAGAAAGTTTGGCGGGTTTGGATACGATGGCTTGGAAGAAATCAAGATCTAGACTCGCATTATGGCTTGAGAAGTTGTTTGACAAGTCTTCGAAAAACATCAAAAAACTGCAATACCTCAAGGAATCGAAAAATGCAATTGGAACATAGAGGGATCCGGTTTGGATTTGAAGCGCGGCTGTTGGCCATTTCCTTGTTTTGGAAGGGTGCAGCAGCTGTTGGAATTGCAGCTTTAGAAGTCTTAAGTTGTTTTTTTGTTTTTTGATTTTTCGGCTCGGATAATAGTAGAATTTGTTGTGGCTGCTGCGTGGTAGTGGTAGTGGTAACGGTAGTGGAAGAATCATTGTCATGGTTTCTCTTGCTGCTGACGTCATATATGTATGTCATCATTGTGTTCCTGTCGCGCCCATTACAATTCCATACAATTCCTAGTGACTGTGTATTGTCAAGTTATGGTCATGATCACCATCTTCGTCACGCTCACATACACTGCTCCTGCTTACGCTTCGTTCCCCAGAGGTTCGTGGTAGAGGTGTTGGCCGTGGCTGCGGTGTCAAGCGCGATGGTAGCTTCTTGCTCCTGTATATTTGGTGTAGGCCGGTCCAGTCTGCATCAGACCACCTCCACCATCTCAGGTTTCTGGCTTTGCTGACGTTTGCTTGACGCAAAAATCCTTCACCCACGTGGCTCAGCAAAAACTTTCAAGTCAAGCTGAAACAGTAGATGGCCGCCTCCAAACAGGCTTGCGCACGCAGAGCTGCCCTGGCACCAGGCGCACGGCGGCCATGTGGCCACCTCAGACAAGATGAGGAATCCAGCTCAGTTGCCTCAAGCCAACCTGCCCAGCGAGGGCACGCTGCTGCTTCTTTCAAGCAGCCTGCTGCGACAGCCGCCTACAGAAGCCTTCACACAGCGTGCAGAGCAGCAGCCGGCTGCTGCGGACATTGCTGCGTTGCGTAGAAGCTTAGTACAGGGGCCGGCGGAGTGCCAGGCGCAGTCAGACTCTTTGATGGATATCTACTTCATCAACTAGCAATCACCTGTCGGACCGTCTTGCCGGGGAACTAGAAGTTTGGGTGGGATGGTATTTCATGCGATTACCTGTGGGCTCGGTTTTAATTAGTCTACATTGGTTCAGAGCACTCTGCAACCTAAGAACCTTGAGCCACAAAAGTGGTCAAGGGGATTTCCTTCAGCTGACATATGCCCTACCTATGTAGCTATCTAGACAAGCACCTTGCACTGTTCCTTGCGCCTGTTCATTGGCCGAGGCTAAGGGCTCGTCTGATTCCTTTGGTTCTTGCTGTTCGTCTGCCGAGTGTGGCGGATGAACTTGACCAGCTCGTTCGCATCCAAACCTTCCACATCCAGAATTCTCAACCCTAACGGTCTCAACGCTGCACAAGGCGTCCGTTGATGAGAGGTCATGGGCTCCTGTCCTTCGGAACCTGCCAAAAGGACAAAGGCGCTGGAACCATGGTCCCAGCACTCAGGAATCAAGCAAAGGAACCGTCGCCATCGTCATCCATGATTTTGTAAAATTTCTTCATTTCCTGAGCATGGCCGACTGATGGACTCCTCAACACCTTTGCAGTTTCGAGCAAGTCGCAGATTCAAAAACATCCCATTTTGTCAGCTTCCTTAGCTTGAGAACTGCGCACGTGACGACACACAACCATTCCATGGAAGCTGCCCCACAGTGACCACTATGCAAATTTAGGAAAAGGTGCAAGTCATCACGCACGAAGCCCATCAGCTCGTGCATGGAAACGCGGCCTCAGTGTCTCTCTAGTGATATATGACCTCAAAGGAAGCTCCCAAGACAAATGAATCCCGGAATCCAGGTTGTCTAGCGCGAATATGGGGAACATATGCACAGAAGCCATTCACACGAGTGCTACCATGCACTGCGGCAAGGGTCCAGTCTACTCATGCAAGTGGCCGTCGCCCCCTCGGTCAATGCGATCAAACAATTTTCGAACTGCCTTGGTTTCAAAGCACTGCCAAGCATCATGCACCTTCCCTGTGATCCCGCTAGACCTATGATAAAAAAATGTGTTTGTTTAACAGTTCCTTTAGGTTATAGTATCATGGAACCCGAAAAAATCCTAAAGAGACTGCAGTTCCAACAGCATGCAACCTCCAAAACAATGACCAATGCCGACACAAACATGAATGATGCCGGCGTGACTACCGCTAGCATCGCTCAAACCGTCAAACCAGGAATCTTCCGGTCACTCCTGCAGACGCTGCCAAGGCCAAAGTCACCCTCACATCTCTAGTACATTTCGCAACGACAGCATCGGCACAAATTACTGTCGTGACAAAACCCATGGCAGATTTGAAGGAGAAGCTTACACGTGTCTTGAGAGAACGCAGGATGTCGGCAGAACAGTGTTGAGTCGGTGGGCTGCAGGACCTGGCCTGAAGCTTGAACTTGTGGTGAGTTAAGGCTTTCCAAAGTTCAGGTTTAGCTGATCACTGGTCGTGAGAGCTTGTTCTGGGGGCTTTGGGGCTCAAGGCTTGTGAGTGCCAGGTGGCTGCATCATCTGTCCTTAGGGCAGGGCTTCGGGTGGACAGACGATGACGCTCCCACACATGTGCTCACCTCATTGCTGCTTCACATGGATCTTTTCCCGGACAAGACTCTTGTAATTTCGGAATCCCAATCGAAGATTTCCTCGGGCTGCTTGCACAATGACAGATGCGGCTTCATTACTAGCAGTCGCGTGAGCCACGGAAGCCTATGTCAAATACTCGCGAGCGATTCCTACACAAGACACCTTGCCCCAGAACAAGGCCACAATTCTGCAGCGCCGCCCCAAGAACATTCAGCGAAGCTGCGATGCACCCGCTTCATGCGAACAGCAAAAAGCTTCGCCTCCTCTTCTGGGTTTCTAGGCCCGCGGGATACGAACCTGCGCGTGCACAGGTCATGCTCCATTTTCTGCAGCTTGTGGCGTAGGGACCTTTGACTGTTCGGGCCTAGGCGCTTAGCTTTTTGTGGCGTGCCCCAAAACACAAGCGAACCTGCAGCGAACCTACCGAGCGAATTGTGGCACAAGTTTGTAACTATAGTTTACCAGGTAAAAGGAAATCCTGTCCACCAGGCGGCAACCCATATGTCTGCTGGCCAGATGCTTGGAAAACTCAGCGCCCGAAATGCTTCCAGTCCTTGGCTTAGCAGCGCCCAATCCTTCTCCAAACACCTTACGAAACAACTTCGAGTCACTTGTCAAGGTCGATCTCGGAGAACACCACCTGGATCTCGTGGTCGGGCAGCCTCATTTTACCGGACAGGCTTCCACCAGCATGGATTGCAGCAGGCCATAATGGTGAAGCGGAGATATGCTGCTGCGAGACGTAGTATCAGGAATGTGCAACTTGTCACGGAGGACCTGCTGCTGCTGGCCATGCTGCAGAGCACCACATGCAGAGAGAATATGTCAACACCAAGATGCTTGAGGGCAACTTTTTGGGATCTTGGCAAAGGGCTTTTAACACCAGGCGCTGACCAGCAACATCACTAAGAGCCACATCTGGACTGTCATTTTGCGTCCCTGAAGTTCTTCTTGCTCTGACTTGCAGTCTGGGCAGAGATTGCCGATGAAGAGTGAAACCGTTGCATATGTGACGACAGCTGCTTCGCTCCAGTTGCTTCTCAGAGTGTTGGGACTGGGGGCTGCTAGGCCCTGCCGTAACGATTCGGACTACAGGACTGGGCTTTGAAACCGCGCTACGTGAATGACACTCTCACGGCCCCGTTCTCGACATGCGCACGTTTGCGAGGCGGCTCCGGCTGCTCGACGACACCCAGACATTCCTTTTCCATGCAGCGTCATCCGGGGAAGATCACTTTGCCAAAAGACGGACCTTGTAGGTGCATGTGCTGCGCAGAGTCACACCTTCATTGATCTCTTGACCTTGTTGACGATCGCGTCATGCTCAGCGCAGCCGCCATGAGGATTGTCAGCAGTACCCCGTTGCTTCAGACAAGGCAAGTGCTTGGCGTCTCGTCACTCAGAAGGTTGAAGGCGGAGCACAAGTCAGTCGCCATGATGCCCTGCATCCACAGGAAAAAGAGCTCTGTCTAAAATCAATCTCCAAAAACACCGATGCCTCCTGGCGAACTATCTTCTCGATCAAACTTGCCGCAATCGCCTTGTCTCGCCTGAGGGCGAAGCCAACCCAAATCCATGCCAGCACTTCAAGCCCAACAGAGGTATCGTGAGCTGCTTCCGGGAAATTCAGTGCAGGAAACAATTCCCTGTGAAACTTCCATGTGGGACTGCCATTTCTAACCGAGGTTCGGATTGACCTGGTGTTGATTGCCCTGCGTCACGATTGTCTGAAACAAACCATGCACATTGGAGCGCACATATTGGTTGTACTCCTGGAAGAGGTGATGGGTGACACAAGGTTTGCAAAAAGCAGCACCAGAACCAGAACAAATTCCTGTATTCGCAGATGTCGACCACATGCATGATAGCAGCATGGGTCGGCTTCGTGAAGCATCTGGGCACCTGTCAGACTCAGAGTGCCGCCATGAAACTTGTGAAGGCTGCTCCGCAGCAATCTCTGGAAACGCTTGCTTTGGATGCTGGCAGCTTAGCAGCTTGTGCGATGAGACTCCAGGGCGGCGAGAACATAAAGTGCGGTATAGTTGCCTCGTGAACACTGGAATTTGCCATCTTCAAGACAAACACCTCTCACCCCTCTAGCTGCCAGACCTATTTGTGCCCAGCGGTCAGAACAAAACTGCTCGAAGTCCCAGCTGGTGTGCCTGAGGTGAGCAGCTGGTCGAGCTCAACAGCATGAGTTGGCACGATGAGCCCTGCCGTCAAGCTACCGAAAGTCGCATGGAAGGCTCCCGGCAATCGGAATCGAGAGAACCTTTGCCGGGACAGGCTGGGCAATGTGTCCCAGCAATGATGGCAAGGTGCTGATAGCAGCATGCCGGAACTGATCTACTAATGCTACTAGTAATGGTGGCAATGCTAGCAACAGTACTGTGGCAGTCCTTGCACTAGGAACATGTCACCACCCAGCAACAGACCAGAGAAGCCTTATCTGATCTTCACGCATGTCTATGCCTGCATGAGCGATCCGTACTATGCGAGCCGTGTGGCTATGCGGGGATCCACGGCAGCGGCCAATGTTGTGGTCCACCCACCACCACTTAGACCCATCATGATAATCCTCTCCTTGGCACCAGCTTTTCTGTGAGTAGATCGCAACGTCTTTTGGTAACAGGTTGCAGCAAAGGAGCATATGACAAAGAAGAGATGGCAAAGTTTATGGTGTTGATAACCTGATTTTGCACAGCCGTTGTCATCCTGCAAATGTAAGGCTTTTGAGAGGACCATCTGGCCAAGCTGCTGGCTCCAAAAAATATCGCAACCATGGGAGCTTTTTATCCTCGAACATCTTGAACCAGGCCTCGGTGATCACCTAGCACTGATCTGTTCATCTGCGTCAGGGGCACCTGACTGCAACCAGCTAACATGCAGACTCGGGGGATCTGACGGATTGGAGTTGCAGTCTTTGAAGGGCATCCTGAGCTGCGCAGCATACTGGTACACGGCTTCTGCATCACCAGCGTTCCATCAAGGCTCATGATGGTGGCGACGTCAAAACCCATCTGGTTGAGCCAGTCCACACTTCCGTCTGTGTCTCCTGCAATCCAGCTTGAAGCCATAGAGCAAGCTGGACCATCAAGCTGTATCATGTTGTAGAAGCAGCAAACCAGTCTCCATAAGTTGGGCAGCCCTTGGACATGCCATGGCCATTGTGGAAAATTACCAAGGTCTTGCCTTTCTGAGGACGCCTCAGTTTCCACAGCTTTGAGGTGATTCTGCTCTGATGGAGTATTAGTTGAGCCCCAGGGTCTGTGGATCTGCAGGCTGCTCTGCGCCTGGTCTGCAAACTGCTGCAGCTGCCCCGTACAAATCTCGACTCTACTACACAAACAAGAGTATCATTAAGCAGGGCAGCTCATGTCAAAATGCCTCAGCCAGGGCTCCCCAGATGTTGTAGTTGGGGGCATAGCCAGATGTATTCAGTGTCAAGAACACCTTCGAAGTCAGAGTCTTTGAGCGGTTCGCCTTTGCTGATGAAGCCAAAACACCAGGCGGAAGAGGCCGCATGTTCCAAAGCTGACAGCTAACTTAGAGCCAGGGACTTGTGGATCATGATATGGCTATTTTCATGCATGAAATTTACCTCTGCCGAAGAGCCTTTAGTCGTGCTGGCATCGTCCAATGAATTTCGGTTATATTGATGAGCTTCTCACAATCACTTCGATTTCCAGCACCCCACACAGCGTAGAGGCAATCCTGGGCGGAGGGTGTGGGCGAAGCGAGACATCTCACACCTGACAACTCCGAGGGACCGGAAAGAAGTGCCTGACAGTCAAATTGATAATGTTGTCGGGCCTGACAGAGACAACTCCCGCGTCAAAAGGCAGAAAGGCTTTAGCTTCCAGAATCACAGCATCTGAATAGCTCAGGACCGCATGGCCTGGATTTGCTTGGAAGCCTCTCCTGGCCAAACATCCTTGCAAAGCAAGCAGCTAATGCAACAGAGGTGCCTCCAAGTCATGGATGCACCTCTATAATTATAATGGGTCTGCCTATTTAAAAGCAGAGCCTCAAAGCTGGGTTCAACTGCATAGTGACATATCAGCTCGCTTGAGCTGTCCTCTGTTTGCCCTGATAATGTGGAGGACTAGACCAGGCTTGATGGACGATTTTGCCGCATGATCGGAACCAGAATGATGGGGCCAACGAGTCAAAATGCAGCTGCAGCTCTCAACGATGAGACGTTTGCGAATGGCTATCCAGTCTGGACTTGGCGGTAGCAAGCCATAGCCTGCAGAGCTTACTTTACACCTTTTGAAACAACGCACGACCAAGCGCTTCAAATCCCAACTCGGCCTTTCGGGCTGCAACCAGTGACATTCGTGCCCTTGGGCTTGCAGACATCGTCCGACCAGCCACGATCCTCGCAGGTGAATTGCGCACCTGAGGCACATAGAACCAAGGGCAAAGACGTGCGCGACAGCTTCTTTATTGCTCGAGGGACTGTAGTGCCGCGACCTAACACTGTCCAACACCAAGTGCTTAAGCGGCACTGCCCAAAACGAGTGGGCATAGCACAAGCCACCTGAGCCATTCATTGTTGCGATCAGAAGTGTCGAGACGTGCTACGTAGTCAAAGCCTCGCCATCTGGGGCCGCAGCAACACTGTGGTGCTGTGTTTTCTTTAGAAAATTGAGCCAGACTGCAAACCACTCAAAGTCAACCCGAATGGTGACGCGCATGACTTGAGCGATGAAAAGATGCCTGTTGGGGAAGACTGGAAACTGGCCTGATTCAGCTCCTTGAGGTCCAAAGACTTTGACCGGTCCTCCCGCCCGCAATTTGGGAGCTCATCTGAAACGGGCTGCCTGCTTTTGGCGAGGAAGTTTGCGGCAATCATATGCTAGCCTCGGCTTTCTAGGCACTTAGCCCCGAGTCCTTGTCCGCTGAGAGGAAGAGCTCATCCCAGGAATCCTGCAAGAATAAAGGCAGAGGCCTACAGTATCTCGAGCAGGGACTTCTCAAACAGGCGAGAACATGCGAGAACACGAGAAAGGCAGATGACCGTCGAACGCAAAACGGAAATGAGCGATGCAAACAGAAATGTCTGCCTCCCTGCCCATGCAGCTGTCCTTGGACTGCCTCATCTTGGCCTTGAAGCGTGCTAGTCATGGGATGTCATGGGTACGTAACTCTTGATTCTGAAGCCACAGTCCCAGTCACAGTCCCCATATGTCCATGCTGCAGAGATGTTTACAAGGCAGACATCTTTCCGAGACAGTAGTCCCTCAATGCGCCTCACAAGGAAAGCCCCCTAAAAGGTTTGGCCCCAGGATGCAGTCCAAACCCTTTTTTTCCGGTCCCAACAGGCGCCTCCATCCTCCTCCAAGCCTCCCTCCTTTTGAATCAGCTAAAAAGTCTACGCAGGCACACAGGGAGGATGATTTGCACAATCTGGTGCGCACTGCAGTGTAGGCCGACCAACATCCAATAGCAGAAGAGACAGGCCAGCGTGAGGCCAACAGCGGGATAGGTATGTGTGGCGCAACTCCAGAATCTGCTCCCCACCCAGAGGTCTGGATTGAAAAAAAGGCATGAGGATAGTCAGAAAATGTAGCGACAAATGTGCAACCAAGCTGCGCCAATCAGGATGCGCCGAGCTCGGTGAGAAATATCTGCGCTGGTCTCCAAAGCCATCGCTTGGCATGGACCCGATATTTGATTCTAACAGAAGCGTCCTGAATTGTTCTGCGGAATTATCTTACATGAAGACTGTGACAATGGCCATGGCAGCTACAAGGCCACATGTAGTAGGCAGGTGGGCACCTGCATCCATCTAGCTGCAGAGCCTCTGCGCCGTATCCAGTGCTCGGACAAGGAGGCACAAGCCGACACAACCACAAGCCAAGTTTGGACTGTGAGCAACATGTGGCAACCACTTTTCCAGCATTCTCCCCACGCCATGCAAGGCCCGAAGACACTTGCAACAGCAGCGTCGAGGTCTCCAAAGCGCAGCTTTGGCTGGCCATGGCTGGCCACTCCTTTGCTATGTCGTCATCGTGACATGGGCCCCTTCTCGATAAGGGCCCCTTCTCAGCCAAAAGCCGTAGCTTGCTCACCACCACCACCACCCGCATGTGCTTGTATCCGGCTTCGCCAATGATTTGGGCTCGTCATAGGCCACGCCGACAGAGTGGAATGTTTGATGCGTCGTCAGGCTCTTCTAGACGCAGCAGCCTGATTGAAGTCGCAGAATGCTAAGTGGCCTCTCACCGTGGTGGAAACAAAGCCTGGAGCAGCTCATAGGCCAAGGCATCCAGCATCTGGCAGAATGTCAGGATTCAGAAGCTCCACCCTTGGCTGTATTGCTGCCGTTGTGCAGTTCTTGACAAAACCCAAAGGGCATCTGAGGCACGGAATGATTTGTCCTTTCAGCGCAAGCAAACATGACACCAAAGCAGGGAAGGCTGGTCACACCCTGCCATCCTGTCCTTGTAGCGTCGGCCTGCTTAGCCATCCGAACTGAGCGAGCCATCTTCGCTGCCTTACGATACCACCAATGATTTTTGTTCCTGCTTTCAACATCTGAAACTCCCAGATTTCCCGAACCTTTGAAGCTGGGCCACTGCTTCTTCTGCAGAGTCCAGGGCCTCCAAGGCTGCTCGGGCGGCTTCCGCGGCACCTTCGATTCGATGAGCGAGAATCACATCCAGGTTTGAGTTCTGTTCTCAAACACCCCCCCACATCTGCATGGCCTTTAGGCAACTCTGGCGCTGGCAAGCCCAGCAACTCCAGAAAATCTGCCTTGGGGGCTGAGACAGAGAGGCGTGTGATGCTCCGAGCTCTTCAGGCCACACAAGGCACATATTAATGCTGCGGGGCAATGCCGGCAGCAGTCTCTGCAAGGATCTCATCACGTCCAAAGAGATCGCGACCAGCCTGCTGAACCTCGCGGGTTTGAGCAGCATCTTTTCGCCTGTAAGATGAGACACCCTCCCTGTAGGTTTTTCACGTTAGATTGCCCTGTCGAATCCTATGTTTGTGCTGCAGTTCGAACTTGTCCAAACAAGGCGCAACCTGACATTATCTTTCAACATTTTCGATCATCAACCCTGAAGACAATGATTGCGAACATTTCGCTATCCGCAATAGCATGAAGCAAGACGAAGCATGTTTTGGTGACCCGTGGAGCGTGTCTAGCGCAATCGGCGAACGGTCTGTGAAGGGAATGGAAATCAGCCTTAAAAGAGCCATGATGCTAACACATAAATCTTGTGTGGCTGTCAAGACGCATCTGCTTTGAAGGAGGTTTCTTGAATCCTTTCAAACCGAACTTCAGCAATCCGAGATTGGCAACAGAGCCTGCGCTTTGAGGCCATCAACAGATGTGGCAACCATCTCCACATCTGTGGCCCCAAGCGACTTGGCCTCAGCGGGCCAAAGACACACAGCAACGCTTGCAGCATGCACTTCAAAAGCCTGCATATAAAAACAGCAACACGCAATTTACGCAATTTGTCAGTCAAAACGCCAATTTCTCCAACGTCTCTTCGCGTCCCGCCAATGCATGTTGCAAATCTTGCACCTTGCTCAGTCGCCACTTGGCTCTGTCCCACTACCTGTACCAACCAAAACTTCCGTGCACCTGACCACTATCACTACAGTCTACAGATCACACAGCTCATGTCGACACGGCTACATGGTAGATGCGAACGCTTTCCAGGGCATCTTCCCCCTCAGAGCCTCCGGTGTGATGTGTGCCTCTGAGACGCGCAAAGACGCGGCCTGACAACGGCCAGGTGCACCGATGATTAATTCCAATGTGATTCGCCAGCTGGCGTGCTGGGATGATCTAGGGTGACACAGACTAATGTGCCTCCAAGGTGCTATGTCACTTAGCTGCTGGCTGCGATCATGCAATTGCTGCTCCAATCCTTGCACCTGCAGCTTGCAATTCTAAGTGAATCACACATGGTGCCACATGCCTGGTGCTTGAGGGCCTTGGCTTGTAGCGCAGCGGGGACGTCTGGCAGATCGACATATTGAACACCAAGACAAGATGCCTCAGAGCGGATCGCATCATAGCACCTGCTGTTGTGGCATGAACACCGGGTCAGCTGCTACCTGCTGCAGCGAGGTGCCCCGATCTTCCACATCCTGCTGCAGCTCTTTCACCTGGTGATACATTGCTGCATACAAGTGCCATCTTTCCACGGCGCCTTCTCCACTAGGACGTCGATGTCGGCCTCCGGCACTCCCAACGCCAGAGCCTCAAGGCCCAGCTCATCGAACTTTTCGAGTGATGTACCAATGGACCAAGCCGAAACGCGAGCGAGGCCAGCTGGGTGTCGCAATGCTGCAGCTGTCCCTGCATGCGCATCAGCTCCGCCTCCAAACGCTCTGCCTGCTCGAGATTGAAACAAGAGACCCCTCATTGTGGAAGGTGTTGCGTTGACGAGGCACAAGGCTGCTCCCAAAAATCTGGCTAACCTCATCATCCTGTATTTACTAGGTCTTTACCACCTGAGAGCACCCAACCAAAGATCTGAACTGGCAGTTGTGGCTTCAAGGGGCCTCCTGCGTTGCCACCTCTGCAGTTCGCTCTAGCTCTGAGCTGATCAAGTTGTGCCGCTCGACGGTAACCAGCTGCAACGCGAGCCGATGCAAGCATTGCTGTAAAGAGTGCCACAAGAGGACAGCACTTGCGTCAAATGCCCCATGTCGACCAACCTCGTTCCGCAGCCGCAACACTTCATCCTGGCTGTGGAATCCAGACAGCTCCAAAGTTGCGGGCTGCATGGTTTCAAGCATAACAAGCAAAAGCAATTGTTTTCATCCGCTCCGTCATGGCTCTTCGCATTTGCGATTCGTGCACCATTCGCCCATGTCAATACTCTCTACTTCACAAAGGTCTGGGGCCGCTTGGCCTTGAAGGTCGTGCGCAATTTCTTGGCAGCATGGGGGACCTTCTTGATCACTGGGAACTTGAGCTTCTTGTCGTGCATCTCCATCACATGTTCACGACGGCACTTCTCATCGGGGATGGAGGTGGCATGGATGATCTGTATGGAGCCGGGATCCGCACGGTGGCGTCCAGCCATTTCCTGGTAAAGCTGGCCCACCGCTCCATTGATGTTCACATTGCGGAACTCCTTGTACATGTTGTGCGTGTTGGTGCGGCTGTCGTAGCGCAACCAGATGCCGTAGTTCTTCACCTTGGTTGGTGAGGTATCGTGCAGCTCGTTCACGGACAGCAGCTCACCACCACTCTTCTTTGCCTTGTTCAAGCGCTTCATGAAATACCAAAAGCGAGACTTGGCCAGCACGACGTTCCTGGCGAAGATCCTCATGCGGTAGATCTTGGGCTTTGGGTTCTTTGGTGTTGGCGCTGCTCTTCCTACGATCTGGTACTGGTGCATGGTAGCCTCCAAGGACTTGTCGATCGCGAACTTTCCCATAGCTGGGCACTTTTCGAGTGGGCAAGGCAGCAAATGCGGAAGGACGGGGCTAAGAACCTGAAGCCCAAAGCCGCGAGTCCCATCAAATCTGCTGAAACTTCGGCTGACGCCCAAAGGCAATGAATGGACTTAGATTACTTCCGATACATCCACCCAACATCTTCCTCCGCTTCAAGGCGCCGTTGCTCGCGGCGTTCGCTTAGTTCCTGCCAACGCCTTCAGGGCACTTGAACCACGAGCGTTTGCCACAGCTTCAGGCAGGCTCCTTCGCTCCGCTCGAACAGCTGTGAGCTGTGTTTGAAGGTCGGAAATTATCGCATCCTGTCGGGACAGCGCCTGCCTCAGAGAACATTGGGCAGAGGCCAGCAGGGTCAGGGAGGACTCATCTCTCAGATAGGACGCTTCATCTGTGCCAGATCTGCTTGCAACAGACTCTCTGCAGGAAGCTCCAAGGCAGTAAGGCTGCTGGTAGGCGAAGCTTGCCCTGAGGAGCGCGCTCTTGAGGAATGTGCATCAAATGAACCTAAGGCCGGCACTTGCCGAAATCAGCTGTGCCTGCTACAGGTTGCTGGCATGTCGGGAGCATACCCCAGAATACGTGCTTCCTCTGTGGCATGCAGGCGCGACTTATTAGGGGATTGTGTAGCGCATGACGAGGCCAGCCAGCAACCCCTGCTTTATCCGAAATCACTCCAACTGCTGAGAACAGACAAACCACGAAAGCGCTGCCTGCAGCGCGGCAACCTCTTCCTGGCAAGCTGCCAAGGAATCCCTCACCTCGTCAAAACATGTCAAAAGCATCATGTCGTGAGGGAACAACTAAGACACGGATGTGTCCTCATTCTCCGTTGAAGCGCCGCCTGGTTGAGCTCTGCGACATTGTCTTGGGAAGGCTTCGCAGAAACAGTCCTGACCAGCAGCTTACTTATCGCGCTTCACTAGGATGACCGGCGTTCCAGGCATTCAGCCCAAGACACCCACAGTACTCATCCTTGATGCGAGCAAGCTCCTGCACCAACTTCAAAAAGATGTTGCCACCTCTATTCTGGAGCGTTCTGGAGCTCAACTGAGGCTCCTGTTGCAACGCTTGCTCTGACAGACGCATCCGCTGCAACTCCAAGGATGCCAGCTCCATTTTTTCAGCGTGAAGCTTCGCCTGCACGCAAGCCAACAAAAGGATAAAACCACACATCCAATTTCCGCCTGAACTCTCGTCTTCTCCAGCTCGTCCTGCAATCTGGTCACCTGCCAATCCATCTTCGCTGCGTCGGCGTTTACGGGCGTCGGGCGAGGGGTGTAACGGGAACCGGAGACTCCTGTTACGTCTCGGGCTGGTTTTTGGTACGGACCCCGGTGGTTCCTGTTCCGCGTTTCCACCTGGTTCCTGTTCCAAAGTTCCTGTTACGCCCCCCTGGTTCCTGTTACAGTGACAGCGTATACCGGCGTCGAGCACAAAGAGCCTCAGCTTTCTTTGACTTGAGCTCGGCTCCCAGGCTCGCCATGTGGGCCTGCAGCGACACTCCGGAACAGGAACACCACCTAACCACCTAACAATGCACCTAATAGCGCACCTAGCGACCACCTAACACCTAACTTAACAATGCACCTCCAGTAGTCCTTAGTAGTCCAAAGTTCCAAACCATGTCATGCTGCACCTGAGTCTCATCGCCACGGACAGATGCATCTCGCTTTTTCATCAGCGTATGGTGCCTCTCCTCATTGATTGCAATGAGGTAAAGAAATGTTCGAAAAAACTCAATACCATGCTAGTGCAACTTGGCTCCAACTCGATCTGCAAGCGCTGCACTTCCTGTCAAGTAAACTGGAGGTTTGTCTGCCCTGTGAACTATATTACTACATTGTGGGTCCACGTGTTTTTCATCAACCCTGCGCGATTCTCCAACCCACATGAGAGTTGCCCAAGTCGGCTGCGCCAACATCCCTCTCCTGCCGCATATTCTGCATCTCACCGCGGAATTGGTCAGCTTCAGCTTTCGCTTCTGCCCTTAGCGAGAAATTGTTTACCCTAAGACTCTCACCAACGAGGAAGCCGTGAAGAATCGTGAAGCAGCTTGTTGCGATGTCGTGTGCCTAAAAATGCAGAAACAAAGCCCGAGGACAAACTCCATGGTCAAGCGGAGCCTCAAAACATCATGGCATGCCTGCAAGTGGCACGCGAGGATCTGTCGCATCTTTGCTGCCAGGAATCTTGCCTAGCGTTGTAGCGTTGTGCGCAATCATGCATGCACGTGGTTGACGGACATGCAAGCTGCGAACAAGGTGCGGAGCGAAGTCTGGATTTCACGGCGCAAGGCTACACGCGCCTTCTCGCCCTGGATGCAGAACAGGAAAGCTTGTGCTGAGGCATGGCAAAGTACACCAGGTCGTGCCATCGAGCGGCGTCTTTCCAGGCTGGCATCAAACTCGAATGAATCGTGCGGATAGCATTCCGCAAATTCAGGTTTGGCAACAGCATCCTGGCTTTTCTTCGGCAAGGTCAACAGAACGTGATTTTGCACAGCGAATGGGCAATTTGGTTGGTGGAGCCTGTCCGCAAGGGGCTCGTTCGTAACGGGTGATACCAACGCAATGTTCTGCCGGTCGTGCGCGATGTACCAGTCCAGGATGCACTGGCGACAGTATGAATATCCTGCTAGGGGTTGCTGTAGCGCATTTTGCAGAGAAACAAACTCTTTCAACAGACCTGAAAACAAAATTTTCCAATGTCATCCGCTTACCGTCCCCTGTGGCCACCGGCGCTCGTAACAAGAGCTTACACAAGGCACCTCGTCAAGACAAGGCACTCTCTCGACATCACACAAGCAGGAACTCACAAAGCAGACTGATTAATGGCTAGGCACATTCAATGCCATCGATCGCTGGCATGGCACGAACAAGATCTTCTTCGGACATCAGCACAATGCCCTGCGCTACCTGAGCCAGGGCGCTACTTGCAGCTTGTCTTCTTTATGCCTTCAGTATTTCTGAGCTCGCGACGCCAAGTACTGCTTCTGCCTGCAAGGAATAGTTCACGACTTCAGACGCTACGACTCCTGATTTGGAGGGTAGTGTGTCAGGGCGACTGCTTCTGGCTCTCAAAACAGAGGTGCATGCCTGTTTTGCTCTGCGTCCCCACGACTTTTTGCCCAAGCAGATTAAAATCAGCGTGGGCGCTGCGTCGTAGGAGACCGCTGCGTTGATAGGTTCGGGCCCTGATCCTCCGTCTTTGGATTTTCTGAGACTATTTCAGGGCACAGTGGGCAGTAAGAATCAGAAAAATGGTATGGGTGCCTGCCAGCCTGTCTCAGCGGTCTTAGCTCTGCGGATGTGGAGCATGGAGTGCTAGAGATCTCCCGAGATCAGCTCCGAGAAAAGCTGTCCGCTATCTCTCTCACACAGGACTGGCCCCGGGTAGGCTGCAATTGCTGTTGCTGTTGCTAGACTGCCCTTGAATCTGCAAAACTGAGCTGCCACAGCAGGGACAGTCCTGTGCCCAAGCCTCACATTATCGGCCAGGATTTTCTTGCTTGCCAACTGTGTCAATGTGGAGCAAGCTATCGTCTTCCAACCCTGGGCATGCAAATTCATCCTGGCACACCAAAACGAGGCTTGCTTCTCTCAGGCATTGAGGTAGGAAGTGGTGTCCTGAGAGAGCAGTGCACATTGTCTTGTGGACAGCCAGCAATGCAGCAAGTCAATTGGCAAGAGGGTGCTTACGACATCTGGCAACCCGTACCCTCCCAGCTCCGGTCATTTCGAAAAGTGCGCGAGACTTTCAAAAACAGTTTCAGCAGCAGCAGCAACAGCAGCAGCAATACTCCATAGAAGAAGCTGAGAAGTCGTCAATCTGCCCAGGCATTTCGCCGATGTTGACCTGCAGCCAGATGCTTTTTTATGACATGTTTGGAACGTTGGTATTGGCGTCCTTGCTGGGTTGCAATAACCCCTGACACGCACAGAAAGATATCACAACATGAATTAAGAGCTTGCAAGCTTGCACGTTCGCATGTCGGCATCCCTGTCTGCCTCAAATCGCTCCTGGACCTTCTTCAAGACCTGCAGGACGCAAGCAGGACAGTCGGATAAACAAGTCCTAATTCCAGCAAAATTGATACGCACTGTTTGCAGGCACGTTGAATGAGACATGCCTCCTGGTCCTCGTCTGTTGCTACGAACGTCAGAGCCAGGCCCTGCCGGAAGCTTGGATCACAGAATTGAAGGAGACTCCAAGGGGCTTCCTGGGGACCTGCGCCTTTCTACACTTTGCCTGACACACTCACTCCATGGCACTCCACTTGTTCTGATCCTAGGTGCTGTGCCAAACGGGGACATAGTTACAACATCTACTGTCACCCGCTGAGAACGACGCCAGGCAGAGGACCTCAACAATGTATGCAATACCTTTCCAACTTAGTTTTAGGCTTACGTTATTGCCTGGTACATCTGCCCTGTGTTAGAATCCCAATAATCTCGATTTGAATTTCAAAGGCATATATATGTACATTGACATCATATCGTTTCAGCCCTCTCCGTGCTGGTAATTCCTCCGCTAAAAGTACATGTGCAGAAAACAAGAGGTGATTGCAAACATATAAGTTCCCAAAGGTTAAACATAAACTGACTCCCAGATTCTCACACCAGTTTGACTGGATAGTTAATTTTAGCCAGGCACGGTGACACACTTGCTCCGAGCCTTGGTCCCGAAACGACCTGCACGACCCACGCGGTGCCTCGCATTGGGCAATTACGATTACTAGGACTACTGTGCTTACTGCTACGATGTTTACTATTACTACCATTGTTACAATTATTACGACAGAAAATTATGCGCTGAGGGCCCACGTTTCTGTGTTGTGTAATTCTTATGCAAGTATAAGGTTTACCTCTTCAAATATCCTATGGAAGGTGACAGAAGGTTGGTATCCATTGCGTTCATGATACTTTACCAAGCATGCGCTAGAATACATCAAGAATAGGAAAGAGAGGCTCTGGGGAGGCTCAGAGGAAGCTCCCCAAGGCAAGNNCCCCCCCCCCCTCCCGCTCCTGGAGACTCTCCG